TCCATCATTCACTCTCTTCCTCTTTGACCTGCTTTTCTTCCATGGTGACCTCATCCCCTCCCCTGTCGACCCCCACAAGTCTCTGTCTGGCCCAGACCTCTTGCCCGAGTCTTCAACCCCAGGAGAGGCTGGAGTCTATCTGATACCACCCCCCCTGGGGTGCAGGCTTACGGGGAGACATGTTGAGTTTGAGGCATCTCTGTCATCAGGGAGTCATTCTATGGGCCATGAGAAGCTTGGGGCTGGAACTCAGGGGCCTGGAAGGGGGATCAGAAGAGCAGTGAGGTCAGGAGCTCAGTTTAAGAAGAAGGGTGCGTCAAGAGCAAACATTTCCACGGCCTGCTTGTGGAGCCATTGTCCCTTGGAGTCAGTAATGTCATGTCCTGCCCCCAGACCACAGGTGTGAGGCCTTGCTGCGAGGCCACAGAAGTGGAGCCCAGAACCAAGGTCACCTCCGAAGCTAATTGAGCCCCTTTGTAGCCGTTGCCAAAAGCCCCCTGATCATCACTAACAAGCTTCCTGACTCCCAATTCGGCAAAGATGCCCACTCCAGTAAACACCCTATGGCACCCCAACCAATCACCTCATGCCAGCCTTCCAGCAGGAATTTTCTTTGTCTCGAAGCTATAAAATTTGGCTATTAAGTCAATGACAACTGTCGACTCACCCTGGTCTGTCAGGAGTTGTCGGTCCGCTGCATTCGCAGTGCCTGCTTTATCTCTGCTCTTTGTTCTTAATAAACTCACTCCTCTCTGCAATACTCTGCATCTGGAAATTCTGCTCCAACCTGCACTCAGACTGTCTCCACAGGTAACTCCTGGCATGTGGCTGCTCATCCGAGGGGTCTGGGAATGAAGCAGTGCTCCCCCATCCCCACCTCTGTCCTTGCACAGGAGGGTCCTTCGGCTGAGCAGGCTGGACCTGAAGCCTGAAGAGGACATCGGAGGGGAAATCCTCAGGGGGCAGGTGGACTTGAAAGGCAGGGTGCATGGTGGGTAAGCACACGAGCTCTGAGACAGGCCAGGGTCCCCCAGTTACTAGGGATTGGGGTCATGAGGATGGGGCCCTGGGCCTCTGTTTCCTTATTTACACCTGCGCTGTGAGAATCCCATAAACCGATGTGTGTGGAGCGTTCAGCAGATACCCTGGCCAACAATAAATGCTTAATGAATATTAGCCATTGTTATGGTTGTTATTGTTTTTATTAGCTCCATAAACTTTTCCTAAACACCATCACTGTTCTCAGTCTTACCCCAGTTTGGGGACAAAGAAATAAGACACAATTCCTGCCCTCAAAGCATGCACTGTTTAATGAGAATGGAAAGGAAAGTGAAGTTGCTCAGTTGTGTCTGACTCTTTGAGACCCCATGAACTGTAGCCTGCCAAGCTCCTCTGTCCATGGGATTTTCTGGGCAAGGATACTGGAGTGGCTTGCCATTTCCTTCTCCAGGGGATCTTCCCAACCCAGGGATTGAATCTGGGTCTCCTGCATTGCAGGCAGACTCTTTACCATCTGAGCCACCAGGGAATCATTTAATGAGAGAGACAGACAAATGGATAAGAAATTGTATCAGGGAATGGAAACTAAGGGGCTTCCCAGATGGTGCTAATAGTGAAGAACCCATCTGCCATTACAGGAGACACAGGAGATGCCAGTTTGATCCCTGGGTCGGGAAGACCCCCTAGAGGAGGGCATGGCAATCCACTCCAGTGTTCTTGCCTGGAGAATCCCATGGACAGAGGAGCCTGGTGGGCTACAGTCCATAGGGTTGCAAAGTCAAACATGACTGAAATGACAGCATGCTCACTTGGAAACTCTCTTATAGAGGAAGCTAGTAAGGGAAGGGATGGGAAGACTCTGCCAAAGTGGTGATATCTGTACCTGGGAGGATGAGTGGAGGAGAGAGGGCAGCATTTAGTACCACAGGTTGGCTAAGGCTTGGAGCTGGGCAGGAAGGGGGTGGCTGAGCCATGGGGTGTCACCTGTGTACTGGGCGAGATGTGGGTGGCTATGCCTCCAGATGCTCTTGACCTCCCTTTGACAAAGCCCAGCTTCCCTGGTGGCTCAAATGGTAAATAATTTGCATGCAATGCATGAGACCAAGGTTTGATCGCTGGGTTGAGAAGATCCCCTGGAGAAGGGAATGGCAACTCACTCCAGTATTCTTGCCTGGAGAATCCAAGGACAGAGGAGCCTGGTTGGCTACAGTCCACAGGGTCTCAAAGAGTTGACACGACTGAGCGAATAACACTCACTTTGACAAATTCAGCAAATTCCGAGCCTTGCTGCAAACCTGTGCAAACCTTGCTTCTGCCTGTGACGTCATGCTGAGGCAGGTAGGTTCCACGAATCTGAGGCCCAGCCCCCCACCCCTCCTACTTCAGGGGAGGAGGAGGAAGCTCCCTCTGGGCAATGCCCAGGCAGGCATCCGTGGCAAGTTCCCTGTCGGCGCTGGCTGCAGCCACCCCAGCCCAGCATGGACAGGAGCCAGGCTCTCGCCTTCTGTAACCTGATGCTTGCCTGCATCAGCCCTGGCTTCTGAGCCCACTCCTCAGGCAGCTCCTGCCAGGGGTCATGGTGACCTTCACCCAGAGTGCTGCCATGCCTCGTAGCAGCGCCCCAGCTGCAAGGCCAAGGGGAACCACTGCATGGGGCAGAGACGGGGCAAGTCTGAGGTGGGGTTGGACCAGGCAAGTTTCCCCATCCCTTCCTCTTTTTATTTTGGACTGAGCTGAGCCTTAGCTGCTTTGTGCGGGCTTTTTCTGGTTGTGGTGAGCGGGGTCTATTGCTGTGCATGGGCTTCTCATTGCGGTGGCTTCTCTTACTGCAAAGCACAGGCTCTAGGGCACACGGGCTTCAGGGGTTGTGGCACATGGACTCTAGAGCTAGGTCTCAGTAGTTGTGGTGTTTGGGCTTAGTGGCTCACAGCTTGTGGAATCTTCCCATACCAGGGATCGAACCCGTGTCCCCCACATTGGCAGGAGGTTCTTATCCTCTGCGCCACCAGGGAAGTCCTCCCTTGCTCTTTCACTGAGTCTCCTGCCTCCATCTAGCAGCCATCCTTGAGCAGAAGGCAGTCCTGAAATGCAGGCCTGTCCACATTCACAGATGAGGGACTTCCTTCTGCCCCACAACTGGGTGTGGAGCCTTCCCCTCTTCCCACTGGACTGACAGGAGCCTCGTCCTTAAAAGGCATAGACACTGATCAGATGCAAAAATGATGGAGTGATAAAGTGCATGGGCTCTGGAGTCACACTGCCTAGGTTGGAAACCCAGGTCTGCAACTTCCCAGCTGGGTCACCCTGGGCAGGTAAGTCAACCTTTCTCTGTTTCTTCATCCACACACTGGGATAACCATACCTACTTACTGTGCTAATCCCAGGGCTGGTAGAGTTCTTTTGCTGTACAAGGCCAGAGAATAAATACCGTAGGCTTCTGGAAGGGCTGCAATAGCAGCTTCTCACCTCTGCCCTCTGTGGTAGCACAACTGTATACAATAAGTGAACAAACAGGCGTGACTATGTTCCAATAAAACTTTTATTATGGACACTGAAACTTGAATTGCATATAATTTTCATGTCACAAATGGTCCTTCTTTTGATATTTTTAATAGTATTAAAAGAAAAATAAACCACCAAAATCACTCTCAGGTCACAGGCAAAAACAGGATTTGGCTTGTGGGTTGAAGTTTGCAGTCCCCTATGCCAATTTTTATAAGTGCTGAGTGCAGCAGCCAGCACTTGGTTCTTGAGCTGATAGTGAGCACCTACTGTGTGCTTAATGCACGTCAGCTCCTATCATCATGGAAGGTGTGGATATGGCAGGAAGCAGCTGATGGCGTGGCTGACTTACTTCTGAGGGGCAGGCCATGGTGGGGCAGGTGGTCTGCCTTGGAGAAAAAGCAGCTGAGGTGGGTTATCAGAAAGTCATGCTTTGGGTTACCACTGAACAGGAGTTGCCAACAGAGTCCTTTAACTGGCCCTTCTCTGCTCAGGGCCCAGAGTACCTGCTTAGCTGCCTAGAATGTGTCCCCCTCCCCACCCCAGCTCAGAGTGAGGGCCTCTTGTCACACCCCTAGGCACCCCCACAGGGCCTCCTTCCCCTCTGACACTCCAAGGAGCCTGGGCCAGCTCCCTCTTGAGGGCTCAGAGCAGACCTTGCCCCAGTGTCAACGACTGGGAATGGTTTATTCACAAACAGCTCCAGCTCCAGGCCCGGAGCTTCCTCCTATCCTTGGCACCAGGCAGTGAATGTCAGACCTCAACACGTAAAGTCACATCCTTGGGTCCCAGCCCAGGCTGGAGGAGTGACTGAAACCCCCAACTTGGGGCTTTGGAGGAGTCTCTTGCTCTCTCTCTCTCTCAAGATCTGGCCAAGAACTCTGTCAGGCTTCACTCCTGGCCTTTGTCCAGGCCGGCCCCATCTCCTTGGCCCCATCTCTCTCCATAGCAGGTGTGCTAAGCGGTTTGGCCTGCAGGATCTAGCTCATCCTGGGTGGCGTGAGTGTGGCCGGGGGGGATCCAACGGTCCCCTGCACATGTCCAGGCCCACCTTGTTCAAAGCAGACTCGTAGTCAATGTCTCTGAAAAGCCCAGTGCGGGGAGGACACCCCCTGTGTGCTGGAGACAGTCTAAGTTCTCAAACTGGTCGTCTTGGCTCCATCTTTCTTCCCTGCCCTGCCTCAGGACTCAGCGGCCTCCTGCGTATCAATCTGGCCAAGAACTCTGTCAGGCTTCACTCCTGGCCTTTGTCCAGGCCGGCCCCATCTCCTTGGCCCCATCTCTCTCCATAGCAGGTGTGCTAAGCGGTTTGGCCTGCAGGATCTAGCTCATCCTGGGTGGCGTGAGTGTGGCCGGGGGGGATCCAACGGTCCCCTGCACATGTCCAGGCCCACCTTGTTCAAAGCAGACTCGTAGTCAATGTCTCTGAAAAGCCCAGTGCGGGGAGGACACCCCCTGTGTGCTGGAGACAGTCTAAGTTCTCAAACTGGTCTCTTGGCTCCATCTTTCTTCCCTGCCCTGCCTCAGGACTCAGCGGCCTCCTGCGTATCTGTGAGCTGACTGGAGAAGGCCCTCTCCAAGCGCAGGGTGTTGTATCTGGGGGGTGGCGTGCCGGGCACCTGGGCCCCTGGGGCTGGAGGCAGGCTCAAGGCGGAGGTGAAAGTGGGCAGGTCATCGTCTATGTCGAGGCCGGGGTTGACCCGGCCCTGCCGGGTGCGGGGAGCCTCGGGGCATGCGGGGGCCCGTCTCCGGGCCCACCACCCTTTGGCTCTGTGCCACTGCTGGCGGGCAATGATGGAGAGGGAGTCGATGAAGAAGACCTCGATGATCTCAATGACGCAGACGACGGAGCAGCTCATCCACAGGCCCAGCTGGCCGCCAATGTTGGACAGAAGCTGCTCGATCTGCAAGGGAGGCCAAACCACAGGATCAAGGGGGAATCCCCACCAAGCTGGCTTCATGCAAAGACCCCGAGGCCCAAGGGAGCCACTGGTTAGCCCTGGCCTTGAACAGGTTTGGGGAAGACAAGGGCAGGCTATCTGTCCCTTCCTACCCTGCCCATTCTAATCTGAGGCCTGGTTGGCCTTTGGTGGCCCTACTAGCTTGGGATGGACCCCTACAGTCTGACTCTGCTCCCCGAGGCCAGGCAGATGGGCAAAGTCACAGACCCGGGACAGTCCCAGAAGGGAGCCACTCACACTGTTGGCAGGGTTCTCCATGATGGATCTCTGGTTCAGGTCTTTGTAGAATATCAAGAGTTTGGCCAAGTCTGTCCTGTAAGACAAGAGGAAGGGCCAAGGTGAGTTGGAGGCCTTTGCACTCTAGCAAATAGCCAGCCCCTCAGCATGGCTGTGTCTCTCCTGCCCAGCCCCCAGCGAGGCCCAGGCTCTGAGCTCCACAGGGTGTCTTAGAACCTGGTTTATGGGGTTCCTTGTGCAACGCAGAACATATCTCCAGCCTGGACCTGGTTACTCAGGCCATCCCTTCACTCAAAAACCATTTCGCCAGCTCTAGACTAAGTCAGTCCCCATAGCTGCCCTCCCATAGCACAATGTACTTCACTAAACCTTGCCATCGTGACTGTTTGATGGCAATCTAAAACACGTCCGGGAGACAGGCAAGTGATGTAAATGAGACAGAGGGGAATAATGATAATAACCATAATAACAGCTAGCATTTATTGACCACTTCCTGTGTTGCCAAGCACTCTTCCAAGAACCTTGTGTGAATTAACTCATTTAGTTCTCACAACAACCTTATAAGGCAGGTATCCCCATTTTAGACATGGAAATTGAGACACAGATTGGTTGAGTAACTTGCCCAAGACTACACAGCTCATGACTGGTAGAGTTGATATTCAAACCTAGCTACATCTGACTTTAAAGTTCGTGCTCTTAACCACTCACTGTACTAAATTCCCTCCTGTTAGAACTGTGGCAAGCTAGAAAGTTCATGCTTATTCCAGAGAGGCAGCCAGTACTCAGTACTCTTTGGTGCTTTGCAAAAATGGAAGCTGAATGTTGCCAGAATTTTCGATCTCTCAGGAAAAGTTGGAAATAACAGGTTATATTGGTGGAACCATATTTGGCTTAGGGGTCACTACTATGCAATACTTGGTTTAACAGTGTGCAATGATTTGATCAAAGTCTATCTTTATTATTAGACTCTAAGTACCATGGAGGCAAGGATGATGTCTGCTTGGTCATCATGGCAACCCCCAGCACCTCACACCTTGCCTAGTGGACATTAAATAAGATGCTGGAGACCAAACTGGGGTAGCGAACTATGTAAACAGTAGTGGCCCAGAGAAATGTGAGTTTACACAGCAATCCCCCCACCCACCCTCTCTACCTTTGTCTCCATCTGCTGAGATCCTTGAACTCTGGCCTGGCTGATTTTTGCTAAAGGTCCTTTGGAAGTGAATTTTGATAAGGAAAATTCAAGTGCAATTAAAAGCTGCATGGTTTTAAAGAGTATTTTTCCAAGTGGGTCAAGATACATCAGGAACTCATGAAATAAATGTACTGAGCCTTTACCAGTACCTTTTACAAAGTGAAATATAAAAGACCAGGTTGCAACCACAGAGAGATTCGAAACTTTTATCAACTGATACAAGCACCAAGCATTTAGAACTATGTTGTGACCCATCGGACAGTTGTAAACAACTGGTACACAAATCAGATGGTTTGGTACACAAGAGTGCAATATTTGAGAAGCAGCCTGTACGTCATAAAAGAGTACTGTTTTATTTTGGTGATGTATTCAATGGGCCGCAATGGGGAAAGTATCAATATTTTCAAGCTGTGGGTTGTGGTGAAACAGTTGAGAGCCCTTAGCCTAGAGCAGGGCCTACCTCATGATAAGACTCAAGAAATATCTGTTGCATAAAGGCATGAGTGAAGGAATGAACAAATGAGAAGGAGAGGGTTTGGCACTGAGGAATCAAGTGAGGAGGCTGGAACCAGGGTGGGCAGGAGCAGAGGAAGCAGGGCAGAGATCAACTTACTTGTTGAGTTTCTTCTTTATTTGCTGGCTTTGGTCCCAGGTGAGAATGGACAGCAACCATTTCTGTGGTGGAGAAAGAAGTGGCCTGGGGATGCCTAGAGAGGCCAGAACCAGCCTAGCTGCTCTCTCCTCTCAGCCCCAGCTCCTGACACGGGCCTCCCCTGTGGATCACCCCTGAGGCCAGAGGACACAGCCAGGACTTCAGGCTAATGGCCAACGGTGCCAGGGGGAAAGAGTGGGCAGAGAACTTACCTCGGAGACCTCTGATGGCCACTGTGCCAGGCTGGTGGTCAGTGTCCACTCCTTAAAGCTAAGCGGAGAAGGGCATGGAGTGAGTGTGGGGGGGCCTGGCCCAGCCCAGCCGTGTTCGTCCCACCCCTTCGGGCCCACTCACCTGCAGGCTTCCTTGCAGACCGACTGGCAGCCCAGCTCTTCCCGGACAAAGGCCTGGTGCAGCTGGTAGTAGCAGTACACTAAGGAGAAGGGCGATATGAACTTTGGGGCCACAGGGCCCTTTCTAGGGTTTTCTAGTGATACCCCCCTGTGTGCGAGCTTAGTCGCTTCAGTCGGGTCTGTCTCTGTGACCCCATGGCCCATAGCCCGCCAGGCTCCTCTGTCCATGGGATTCTCCAGGCAAGAATACCGGAGTGGGCTTCCATGCCCTCCTCCAGGGGATCTTCCTGACCCAAGGATTGAACCTGCATCTGCCTGCATCTCCTGCATTGCAGCCATATTCTTTACCCAGTGAGCTACTTGGGAAGCCTGATACCCCCACAGTCTCCTTTTAATGATTTTACCTTCCACTTTCTACAAATACTAGTTCTCTGGAAACAATTGCTGCCTTGTGATTTTGAGAGACAGAAAACTGCCACAGTTAAGAACATTAGCTGGAGGTGGGAAGGGTTGGCAGTCCTTGGCTTGGGTCTAGCTTTGTTAGACCCTGACTGTGTGACCTTGGGCAAGCTGCTTAACCTTTCTGAGCCTCAGTTACCTGTTCTGTGAAAGGACACTATCAATAGTCCCTACCTCCTGGAGTTGACAGAGGGGGTCAGGGACTTAGCAGAAGCTGGGGTGTAGCATCTGGTCCTTAATCAGAAAGTGGAATTCAAGCCAGGTTTCACAACACGAGTGAAACTGGTTAATACCTCTCTGTCTCCCTCAGGTCATAGGCCATCAGGGCAGGGTCCTGGGAGTGCCTTAGTTATTGCCAGGGTGGGGCTGACCCTGATCCTGGGGTGTGCAAGGTGTGGGGGTGTGCAAGGTGGGGGTGTGCAATGTGGGGGTGTGCAAGGTGGGGAGTGTGCAAGGTGTGGGGGGTGCAAGGTGGGAAGTGTGCAAGGTGGGGGGTGTTGGGGTCTCACTCACTCCAGTTGGGGTGCTGTTGGTAGTTGCAGTAGTCGGCTCCCTGAGGTAGAGGCTGACTGTACTGGGCACACCCACAGTTCTCTACCATCTTTGCCTGGAAGCATGAGTGAAGGCAGATCTGAAAGACAAGACCCAGGAGTCCCCTTAACTTCCTTGCTTGTGGCTGCCAGATATCTCCCCTCCCTATATCCCCCAGTCAGAGAGGGTCAGCCTCCCACAGCCTTGGCAGACAGCATAAATGTACCCCTCATGTCCTGGCCGATAGGGTCAAAGGGACAAAGCTAGAAAACTTATTGGGAATTTGAGATGTGGAGGCCAGGATGAGCTAGAGAGGGCCTGGGGTGGTCATTTGCCACCATGTGAGTGCTGACCCAGAGATAAGTGGGGAACTTGGAGCAGGTGCCAAGAAACAGCGAAACAAACACAGTCTCCAACTTTCTAGTTTTCAGCTGCATGCCCTCCACTCAGGATCCCTGGGGATCTTAAGGTACCATGATATCCACAAAGCTTAGAGCCATAAAAGCTAACAAAGGGGGCTTGGAAGTCAGGCTACTTGAGTTCATATATCAGCTTTGCCACCTCCCAGTTGTGTGACCTCAGGTGAGTTACTTAAACTATCTGCCTGCATCTCCTGCATTGCAGCCATATTCTTTACCCAGTGAGCTACTTGGGAAGCCTGATACCCCCACAGTCTCCTTTTAATGATTTTACCTTCCACTTTCTACAAATACTAGTTCTCTGGAAACAATTGCTGCCTTGTGATTTTGAGAGACAGAAAACTGCCACAGTTAAGAACATTAGCTGGAGGTGGGAAGGGTTGGCAGTCCTTGGCTTGGGTCTAGCTTTGTTAGGCCCTGACTGTGTGACCTTGGGCAAGCTGCTTAACCTTTCTGAGCCTCAGTTACCTGTTCTGTGAAAGGACACTATCAATAGTCCCTACCTCCTGGAGTTGACAGAGGGGGTCAGGGACTTAGCAGAAGCTGGGGTGTAGCATCTGGTCCTTAATCAGAAAGTGGAATTCAAGCCAGGTTTCACAACACGAGTGAAACTGGTTAATACCTCTCTGTCTCCCTCAGGTCATAGGCCATCAGGGCAGGGTCCTGGGAGTGCCTTAGTTATTGCCAGGGTGGGGCTGACCCTGATCCTGGGGTGTGCAAGGTGTGGGGGTGTGCAAGGTGGGGGTGTGCAATGTGGGGGTGTGCAAGGTGGGGAGTGTGCAAGGTGTGGGGGGTGCAAGGTGGGAAGTGTGCAAGGTGGGGGGTGTTGGGGTCTCACTCACTCCAGTTGGGGTGCTGTTGGTAGTTGCAGTAGTCGGCTCCCTGAGGTAGAGGCTGACTGTACTGGGCACACCCACAGTTCTCTACCATCTTTGCCTGGAAGCATGAGTGAAGGCAGATCTGAAAGACAAGACCCAGGAGTCCCCTTAACTTCCTTGCTTGTGGCTGCCAGATATCTCCCCTCCCTATATCCCCCAGTCAGAGAGGGTCAGCCTCCCACAGCCTTGGCAGACAGCATAAATGTACCCCTCATGTCCTGGCCGATAGGGTCAAAGGGACAAAGCTAGAAAACTTATTGGGAATTTGAGATGTGGAGGCCAGGATGAGCTAGAGAGGGCCTGGGGTGGTCATTTGCCACCATGTGAGTGCTGACCCAGAGATAAGTGGGGAACTTGGAGCAGGTGCCAAGAAACAGCGAAACAAACACAGTCTCCAACTTTCTAGTTTTCAGCTGCATGCCCTCCACTCAGGATCCCTGGGGATCTTAAGGTACCATGATATCCACAAAGCTTAGAGCCATAAAAGCTAACAAAGGGGGCTTGGAAGTCAGGCTACTTGAGTTCATATATCAGCTTTGCCACCTCCCAGTTGTGTGACCTCAGGTGAGTTACTTAAACTCTCTGATGCTTTGTATTCTTCATTTTTGAAATCTGTATAACAGGACTTACTTCATGGGGTTGTTGTGATATGAATCAAAAGATGTAAAGTGTTTGTGAATGGTAGCTTCTCACTAAATATTATCCTGAGTGTCTTTCCAATGAGCTGACTTTTCATTTTCTTCTATTTTAATGTCAGTGTGATTGCATCTCTATTTCTTACAAGCAGACCTTGTCTGACCACTAGTCTCTTTTCATTCAATGTCTCCACCACCTCTCAGCTCAGCTCTAATGGAAGCTAGAGGATTCAGGGCAGAGGGTGCCTGGCCCTTGGGCTCTGCTGGGTGATTCTCATTTGACTCTCTGGGTATCCTGGTGGGAGGCGAAGGGCAGACTCACAGAAAGGAAGACAACGTGTAGCAGGTGACTGCACCCAAGGGTCAACGTAGGTAATGATGCGTGGTGAAGACTGCAGGGAACCAAAGGACATGTCTCATTTGATAAGGCCACTCTACTCACTGTTTATCCTATAGAAATATGGGCCCATTGTCACCAGATCTTGTTTTTCAAGAGAAGCTAGAAATCTGGGTTTTCTTATGAAGTTCCCCAACTTTTAAACACCATCCAGAAAAACCAGGTGGGCAGGTTGGAAGGGGCCTGGGAACCACCCATTAGCAGCCCCTGATCCAATCCAGACTCCCCTGGTGGCTTCTGAGGAGCGCACAACTTGTCCAAAGCTGTCAGCGGATGAAAGGCACCCCTTAGCCAGCCCCTCCCAGACTGCCTCCTCCTCCTGTCTCTCATTTGCCAAGGCCGATTTAGGAAGCAGGCTTGTTGAGCTGTACGTTCTGTTCCATGCAAACCTCGATTAAGCTCTGGTTACAGGTGGGTTGAAGAGGACTGGAACCAGCCGGCATCATTTGTTCTTGAGATCTTTGGATGAACCCCAGGATTCTCACCACAGTTCCTGGTCCCAGACACACCCCAGCCTATATATAATTTTGTCTCCTGGGTCCAGACCACAGCCCAGGGCTGGGTGCTGCCTTCAGCCTGTACCTGGGAGGAATACGTGGCGTTGTAGATGTTCGTGATCTGCACGTCACTCCAGTCCTCTGTGCACTGGCTGTAGGGATCACTCAGCTTGAAGGACTCCGTCTGTAATCACAGCAGCCACACATTCAGCCCCGCACCCCTCCAGGACCCAGACAAGGGGCATTGCTAGCAGCTTCTAGGAGCTGAGCAACCATCCACTCATTTATTTAACAAATATTTTTTGAGCACCTACTAGGAGCTTGATGCTATTCTAGCACTATGTCGCTCAGTCGCTTAGTCATGTCCAACTCTTTGCATCCCCATGATCTGTAGCCTGCCAGGCTCCTCTGTCCATGGGATTTCCCAGGCAAGAGTACTGGGGTGGGTTGCCATGTCCTTCTCCAGGGGATCTTCCCATCCCAGGGACTGAACCTGAGTTTCCCACATCTCCTGCATTGGCAGTTGGATTCTTTACCACTGAGCCACCCTCTTGTGAGCAAGCCACACTCTTGAGTCTACTCTAGTGGAGTAGACAGATGATCAAAAACAAATAAATCATTTTGAATAATTTTTTATAGTAATCAGTGAAACTGGGTAGAGACTGGAAGGGTTTGAAGGAGGGGACAACCTTTCCAAAAGTGATTAGGGAAGACATCTTTGAGAAAATAACATGTTGGTTGGACATGGAACGGCAGGAAAGAGCTGGATTTGTTAAGAAACATAGGAAGAGGATTAGGCAGAGGGAGCAGCCAGAGTGGAGGCAGGAGAGGGTCAGGGTGGCTGGATCGTGGTGAAAGGGAGAGCTGTCGCTGGAGATGACATCCAAGAGGGACGCCAAGGACAAATTGTGGCAGTCTCCTACACTGTGCTGAGAAATGTGGGTTTGGATTTGGTTTTCTGAATGGTAGTGAGCCGCTGGAGAATCCACGGGGAACAGGCAGGAGGGCTTAGATGAGCAGTGACTGTGCTGCACGGGATTCTTGTCTCAGCGAAGGACTCATTTCCTACCTTCTTACCTTTTGGTCCCAGAAGGTGACTTGGAAAAATGGACTTTCTTATAGAGGACCAAAGAATGCCCAGCAGTATAGAATGATACCGTGATCAGAGGAGATAAGAACATTGCAACTCACTGTTTGAAAGCCTTATTAAATTATGTTTTATTATGGCTTACACGTTTGGTTCTAGCTTAATATTTGTCACTACAAAGGAACAATCCAGCCAAGACAATCAAGGGAGAAGAAGGATAATGTCTCTCAAGGCGAAGCAACTATAGAATATAAATTGTGACCAACTCATAGCTAGGATTTGGTTCGTGTGTGTGTGTGCGTTGTTTTTTTTTTTTTTTTTAAGATGGGGAGGGTAAAGGGCAAATGGATGGCAGATTTATGGGATGGAATAAAATTCTTTTTTCTTTGAAGAGTGGCTGAATAGAGAGAAAGATAGTTGGGGGTGGGTAGGGGTTGGGGGGAAAGGAGTCAAGAAGTTTGGTGCAGGTAGAAACTACAATCATCTCAAGGGGCTATAATCTCTTTCTGTTTGTATTTGATCCATTACTCTTCCTCAATTAACTGCAAGTATCTCCAGGGCAAAAGACAGTGCTCATTTTAAAACATTTAAACAGAAGAAGCAGAGAGGAAAGAAACTGTCTGATTTCCTCTCTTCCCCTGGGCACCTACTCCAACAGGTCAGATTTCGATCCTGAGATCCAGACACAAAGATTCACATGTTCCCTTGCCCTATAATATCCTTTTCTCATTCATAATAAAGAGTGAGTGTCTTTCCATGTCAGTACAGAATAAACAGACTTACTTCATTCCTCTAATAGCTGGGGAACAAACAGATTCAGAGCTTCCAGTACATGCCAGGGCTGGGCTGGGAAATGGGCAAAGAGATGCCAAGCAGTGGCTTCCCTCAAGGGCACCTTCACCCACCCCCTATCCTCTAAGCTTCTCCAAGCAGCACACTCCCGGTCAGGTGTCCCTTGGAGCCCCCAGGTCCTGCTAAACTGGCCACAGAGCCCCGAGTGTCAGCCCTGGGCTCTATTTGCCTGCGGGGAGAGTTCAGTACCCTGAAATCTAGAGGGGAGGGTCTGTCCACGCAGGTAAACCCTGTGCAGTTGGCAAAGGCAGCTGGGGCTCTTTCTACTTTGAGAACCAGCCTGAGGACCACTTCCAGGAAACTGACTGTGAGAAAGTCATAACATTGTGATTTTTATGCTTTTTGAGTATTCAATGGCCCTGTACTCTGGATGATGCTTATCAAGCTCAGAGCTCCTGGGTTATTCAGGCTGTTTCCTAAAACACCTGGGGCTGAGGCAGGTGGGGCAAATGTCCTTTTTAGAGTGGAATAGGTGTCTTCAGCTTCTCGAAGCATCAGTCAGAATTTGGACAGAGCCCTGGCTTTCTCTCACTCTCTCTCCGCCTCACCCCCTCACCTTTCATTTCCTCTTTTCCCTGTCAGCTTTCCCGGACTGCTGACATGCGCAGGGTGGGGAAACGTTTTGGCTTCTGTCCTGATCCCTAGGGGCCCCAAAATGAGAATGAATCTATGTGTGTGTGAGAGAGAGAGAGTGCGTGAAGTTCAGATGGAAACATAGGTGTGTGGTATGCATGCATGCACAGGTGTGCATGGGTGTGATTAGGCGTATGTGTGCATATGTGTCGCATGTGGGTGTATGTGGAAACGGGACTCATTTTTCTCGAACCAGGTCCTATCTGCTTCCTTCTGAGAATTCTGGGGGAGGAGAGAGGCCACACTGGAGTCCTTAGCTCACCCCTGTCAAGTCTGAACTGTGTCAGGGAAACGCCCAAGGGCAACAGGAAACCCTAGATGGAGTTATGGGCGCTTTGACTCTCTTTCCTTTTGTTCTGTTTTTATATTGTAATAAGTTATGAAACAATTCCTCGATGCTAATAAATTATAAGAATTTGTGCTCCTAATCAATGGAAGAAAAAAGAACTATTCAACATATGAAGTTAGGACTACTTATTAAGAATTTGGAGGAAGTAATAAATCCTATCTCAATTTCAAATCCTGCAGAAATAGAAATTCTAGGGGGTTAAACTATTAAATGAAATAATGAAATAACTGGAAGGAAATTCAGCTCAGTATCTGATCTCAAGGAGGAAAAATACTCAATAAACATAATGACTAAAGAAGAAAATGAAAACTTTGGCTATGTAAACATCTGATGTTTTTGCATGTGAAAAAGATAGCATAATGAAAACTAAAATGAAAGCACAAACTGGGAAAAATGTTTGTAACACATTCGGCAAATAATTAGTATGCCTTCTATATACTATATGGAAGAAAACAAATCTCACTCAGAAAGAATGGGGGTGTCAGGAAGGACAAGAAAAATCTCCCCTAGTGCTTATTTTTCCATCCTTTCACATCTCTTTTCTTTCTTTTTTTTTTTAAAAAAAAGGTGTATAGTAATAGCCCATATTTTTGGAGCACTCAACACATGCCAAGCGCTGTTTTCAGTTTCCCACGAATCAGCTCACTGAATTCTCACCAGCCTGTACAGGAATATTACTATCATCCCCATTTTACAGATGAGGTAACTGAGACACAGAGATCACACGACCAAAGTGCAAAGTTGGGGTTTGGATCCTAGTTGTCTGGCTCCAGAGTCTGAGCCCTTAATCCCTGTTACAAACACGGTTGTGAAAAGAAATGGGCGCTTTAAGATAAGAATGTGCAGTGGGGTTTGCAGGGACAGTGAAGTCTCGCCCCTCTTCAGGGCCTGGTCCGCAGCCCCCTAGGTGAATTTGCCTTTGCCCACTTCCTCATCTCCCATTCATGATCCAACCTATTGTACTTTGGTTTCTGTTCCACTCCTTCCACAGAAAACTGTTCTGGCAAAGAACCAGTGACTTCTTGGTTGCCAAACCCAGAAAACTGCTTTTACCCTTTATCTTGCCTGATCGCTCAACTGTTTGGCGTTAGCTAACACCTTCCTTGAAACTCTCTTCATTTCTTTGACACCAAGTCTTTCCAGCTTCTGCTGCTTCTTTGGTGCCTCTATTTCTCCATTTCCTCTCTGCTCAACCCTTAAACATCTGCGTTCTGTCTCAGGTCTTGAGTGATGGCATTTATTTCTAAGTCTAGAACTGTTAGATGCAACTCCCACCCCACCATCGCCTGTAGATTTTTCTCCTGAGCTCCAGGCTTAGAGCATCTAATCACTGGACATTTTCAGCCTGATTTCCCAAAGCTACAACTTGGGTATGTGCCAAACTGAAGTGGTCATTTTCTCCCCAAACCCTACTCTTCTTGTATGCCCTAATTCAGAACCTGGTACTTCCATTCAACCCAATACCCAAGTCAGAACCTAAATATGGATCTAACTTTCCCTGGCCTTTCCCCGATGACCTTGGTTGTCAGGCACTGTTGCTTCCACACTGATATCTTTCAAATCGATTCACTTCTGCTCACCCCCACAGCCACTGCCTCAGCGAAGGAGTCATAATTTCTTTCTAGTACTACTGTAAATACTCAGCTGCCTCTAGTATTTTGAGTGCACTTCAAAGTGGTTTTTCAAAATGATTCACTACATTTTGAATCATTTTGAAATGAGACTTCAAATGCTTTCTGCAACCCCCTTTGTAATTGCTGTGCCCTGTGTCTGGAGTAGCCCTTCCTGATTCTATTTGCCTGACATTTGTCCTTAAGAAATCATCATCTATAAAGCCTAGACCAGCAGCTTTTGTCCTGGCTCCCGTTCATCCACACATCCAAAAATATTTACGGAGGAGCTACTATGTTCTAAGAACTGAGCCTGGGAACAGATAGAAATAGTCCCTGTTCCCATACAGCTTGGACCTGTATTGCAAAGCTGTGTTGCCTTCTCTTAAAGGTGAATGTTGAAGGTAGGTACTCTGTTATACCCATCTCTGAATATCCAGTGCTTTGGGCACATAGTCCCTCAGTGAATGAAAGAAGACTTGTTAACCAGCTGCCTAACCAACTGAGTCCACCAGTTTAACATGCCTCTCAAAAGTAAATAAATAACTATCAAAAAAAAAAGAAAAAAGAAGAAAGGAAGGAAGTCTAGTGTGTTTGGACTTATTCTTAATGACCCTCTGGTGACCTCTCAGTAATCCTTGGGTTTTTTTGTTGTCTTAAATGCTCATAAATCAGAACCAGAGCTGCTTGACCCTGCTCTGTGGCTTTGATTTTGTACATCTCAAGCTAGGTGTAGCAGAAAACCCACCCTTGTCTTTGTTTACCCATCATTGCTAAAGGGAGCATTTGCTTAACAAGGTGATGGGCATTCCTAAGCTCAGAGAAGAAAACCAGAGGGCAATTCCCTTAGTTCTCATACTTTCCCAAGCCCTAAGTTTGCAGACACCGCAATAGGCAGGAGGGAAGGAGAGCATGAAACAATAAGATAAGAATGTGCTGTAAATTCCAGGTGCTTCAAGTACAAAATTTCAGGGGAACATTGGACCAAAATGCTTACTGTTCTGATCAGGGAGTTTTGTAATCTGCTGGTGAAGAGAGGAGTCAGAGACCTAGGTCCTTAAGTAGGAACCTAAAGTCTTTTCAAATCACAGTTCAAGCAAGTTAGGGCTCAAGATTTTTTTTCCTGGGCCATCAGCACCCACACAGCCCAAGCTGGTACACAACACTTCTCCTGCGGAACAAACTGCCCACTTTGAACAAAGCGCCTAAGTGCCAGGGCTCCTCTGAGCACTGGGGCTCCCAGAGGACCATCCCATGCTCTCTCTTGTCCAAGGTTGCTCTTGACCGGGACATGGTGAGGCATCGAAGCCACAGATCCCAGTTGAGCAACTCTGCTTTCTCAACTTAAATACCACTTCCTTGGGAAAGCACCCCTTGCACTCCCCACCCCCCCCCAAAAAAAGCCCTTAATCAGGCATCTCTGTGATATGCTCTCATGCATCCTGTATTTATCCTTCTTAGCACCTATGATGATTATAGTTAATCACCTATGTGATTTTTGGTTTGTTAATATAAATTCTCTCTGTTAGACCCAAAGTCTAAAAGGATAGGGACAGTCCTGGGGACACTGATGTAGCTCCAGTATCTAGCACACATGAAGCGCTCAGAAAATGCTTGTTGGATGAATAGATGATGGATAGATATATAAGCTCCAATGCCCACCATATGACTTTGTAACACTCTGAAGACAGCATTTATAGCTGTGCTAAAGCTCTGGTGTCATCCTAGCTCTACTTTCTCTTAGGAAGACACATTTTTCTTCTTCTTTCATTCTAAACTACTCGGGTTTCTAAAGCTCAGGTTCCTGAGTTTGCTGCCTCTTGGAATGACTGCTGGTGTTTGGTAAAAATACAGATCCTTGGGCTTGTCTCTCAGAGAGTTTGATTCAGTAGATCTAAATCTAATGATCAAACAAGTTTGACACCACTGCTCTGGAGGAAAAAATTGTGAGGGATGAAGCGTAAGGTTTAATTTGGGACTTTAGTGACATGAAAGTTGCTCAGTCATGTCCAACTTTTTGTGACCCCGTGGACTATACAGTCCATGGAATTCTCCAGGTCAGAATACTAGAAATTGCAAGCAGCAGTGAAAGTTGCTAAGTCATGTCCAACTCTTTGCAACCTCATGGCTTATACAGTCCGTGGAATTCTCCAGGTCAGAATACTAGAATGGGTAACCTTTCCTTTCTCCAGGGGATCTTCCCAACCCAGGGATCAAACCCAGGTCTCCCACATTTCAGGCAGACAGATTCCTTACGAGCTGAGCCACAAGGGAAGCCTTGGAATGTTAAAGTTGGTATAAACAAAGGCATGAACAAAGGGTCCACAAGGAGACTTTTTTTTCCCTCCATAAATAGGTGAAAAAAAATAGCACTAAGAACGACTGTCAATTAAACTTATAATAGATGCCATTTTTTTCTTAAATTAGTAAAGATTAAACATTGCTTAATGCCTGTTTTGGTACAACGTCACTGGAGGGCAATTTGGCTAATCTACCTCTTGAATGATATACTTCCAGGAAGTAATTGGATAACTACACATCTCACTGCACCACTGTTTTCAGTTGTACCTGGAAACAAGTTCAAGCATATCAACAGGGAATTGCTTCAATAACTTACCCACACAATGGGATATTATGTCTTTAGGAAGAATGAGGCAGAATCTATGTGTATTGATATGGAACTATTTCCAAGCTATACGATCAAGTGAAAAGTGGGGCAGAAGAGTATTTTGCATTTGCATAAAAGAAGAAAGGATTACACCTACACACAGGCTTGAAGAAGACTATACCACCCTCCTGAGTCATGGAAGCAACAGCCACAGCTGCGTGTGGAGGAAGGAGGAGACCAGTGGTCAGGGATATGAGAGGTGCATCTGAACGGTAGGATCTTTGTACTGACTTTGTGCATATACTCCTTTGAAATAAGTACTTAATAGTTATTTTGTTAGAATGAGAGGCAAACTGACAAAGTCAGAGACAGACTGGCATAAAAGACCCACGCCTGCAAACAGGAGACTATACAAGCAGTGATGTGACCAGGGGTGTCCTTGGACACCTGTCACCTTGCCCTCCACTTCCATTGGGCATGGCCAACCCAAGGATTGGAGTCTGCAGCCCAGATGTGCTTCTGTTGCCAGGTATGAGTGTTCTCAGCACCCAGTGAGCTCAGAGAAGCTCACAGACTTGGGGGGGGGGGTTCTTGGTAAATGAGATAAAAGTGATGGAAGTAGGAGGGACTAAATAGACCTGTGAAGGCCCAATGACTTTCCAATAGTGATTTACATGCTCCATTGGCCTGTAGGTGGCCCAGGAAGCTGTAAATCTGCTCCATTTATATTACTGACAAATATATCGTTAGTATCTGATGCCTTGCTTCTAGCACAGGTTTCATAAACATGGATGTCTGTCTCTGGAACAAGGAAGGTTCCTTCAATTCTTATCCTAAATGGTGTCCTGTCCTTGTTCATCCACACAGAAGACATAAAGACAGCCCTTAGTGTAACATAGAGAGTGACCATTTGCATAATCACTGGAAAACACAAGACTATGTTTCCTCTTAAAACCAATACCCTTTTCCGTAAGTTCCACCTCACTGATTATCCTTCAATAAAATCTGTCCTCCTTGCCAAGCAGATGGAAATCAGAGCGTTCTCTTACCAGGTGCATTCCTATGGAGGTGGCCATGGCTGTCTCTATCTCTGTTCCCACGTCCTCAACGAAGGGGTATTCGTCCTGCCGATGGACAATCACCTTAGCCCCAGTGGAGGACACCAGAAAGGGATTGTACTCTTCTTCATTTATGTACAGGATGACCTGCAGCCCTGGAAGGACAAGGCAGCCCGTTGTGGTCAAAAGCCAGGAGAAGATGCCCTACTGGTAGCTTACCTGCCCCACCACTCTGGGAGTCCCAGAACCAAGACCCAGACATTTCCTACAAGTGAAAGGTGGACAAGAGCAAAATGGGAAGCTCCGTGAGGGGAGTGTGACTTTTCACTGCTCTGTTTCCAGGGCTTCACACAAAATAGGGCTCAGGAGCAGTATCACTACTGCAGCTTTGCTAAGCACAAGTTTTGCTACCTGGCCTAAGACATGAGTCTCCTTGTGGCTCTTTGAGATGGGGAATTCTGCTGGGCACTCAAAGGGATGTGCAGGGCTGTGGTTGAGATACCAATAGTGCATCTGGTCACTGCCCTAAATCCTCTCCCTGATCCTACTGTTGCACCTGCGTCTAATCTGAGCCCAGCAGCCAGAGGGACCTTTTAAAATCAGGTCACTCCCTTGTCTGAAACTCCTCAGAGGGATCTCACTGCATACACGGGGTCGCCATAAAGTACTGTCCAGAAACCTGACTAGCTCTCAGGGTGATGGTGATGCCTTCCTCCTCATCCCACTCTCCCCCTCCATCAGGAAGCTCCAAGGACACTGGTCATCGTTCTGTTTCCAGAGCACACCAAATCCACTTCCTCACTGAGGTCCTCGGACTTGCTAGTGCTCAAATGCTCCTCAATGGACCTTATCATACATCTTCTCCTCTTCAAATAACCCTCAACCCAGAGGCCTTTCTAGACCTCCTTATCTGAAATAAAATTCTCATCTCAACTCAGCCCTTGTGTGAGGTAATTCTTGAGGTATAAACCTAGGATTGATAACCAGATAATGTCTATGGGCTTGTTCATTCATTTATCTGTCTCTCTCCAACAAATACAAGCTCCTTGAAATCAGGGATGGCATCTATCTTATTCACCACTGGGTCCCTAAGACTTGGAAGGGGGCCTGCCATATAGAAGGTACTCAAAAATATTTGGTAAACAAATGAGCAAATGAACAGGGCCCATGTGAGTTGAAAGAAGAGAATTTTTAAAATTATTCTGACTTCTTTTTGTTGTTGTTCAGTTGCTGAGTTGTGTTTGACTCTTTGTGATCCCATGAACTGTAGGTAGCCCACCAGGTTCCCCTGTCCTTTACTGTCTCCTAGAGTATGCTCAGATTCCTGTCCACTGAGTCAGTGATGCTATCTAACCATCTCATCCTCTGCCATCCCCTTTTCCTTTTGCCTTCACTCTATTTGTAAGAAAGGAATCAAAGCCCAGAGTGGGGAAGTGATTTGCTCAAGGTCACGCAGCTCAAATGCAGCAGAGGCAGGATTGCACAGCGGTTCCCAGACTACTTCTTCCCACTGACGTATGTGCCCTGAATTATGGTTTCTTGCAGGTGTGGTAGGAATACAGACTATGCAGTAACAAAGATGAGGAGTCCAGGTGGGTTTTCCTCCATAAGACCTTGCCTCTCCTTATAGGAGCATATCTATATATCAAATCAGGTTTAATTTGTTTAGAATCTTTGAAGATAGACCAACTGGTTGAGTTCCTGCCTTCTTTGCAACTCTTTACTTTACTAGTAGAGTAGCAATAATAATAACGTTGGAGGTAGTAATTTTTGGTGGTAATAGTAGCAGCAGCAGCAATGGTAGTAACAGTAGTGATGACAACCACAACTAGCATTTATTGTCTGCTTAGTCTGTGTGATGGACTGAACTGTGTGTCTTTCTGCAGACGCCCCTCCACCCTATTTATATGTTGAAGTCTTAATCCCCACTGTGACTGTATTTGGAGAATCAGCCTTAGGCAGGTGATTAAGGTTAAATGAGGTCATAAGGGTGGACCCTAATCCCCTAGGATCTGGTGTTCTCATAAGAAGAAGAAGAACAGATTCCTGTCCACTGAGTCAGTGATGCTATCTAACCATCTCATCCTCTGCCATCCCCTTTTCCTTTTGCCTTCACTCTATTTGTAAGAAAGGAATCAAAGCCCAGAGTGGGGAAGTGATTTGCTCAAGGTCACGCAGCTCAAATGCAGCAGAGGCAGGATTGCACAGCGGTTCCCAGACTACTTCTTCCCACTGACGTATGTGCCCTGAATTATGGTTTCTTGCAGGTGTGGTAGGAATACAGACTATGCAGTAACAAAGATGAGGAGTCCAGGTGGGTTTTCCTCCATAAGACCTTGCCTCTCCTTATAGGAGCATATCTATATATCAAATCAGGTTTAATTTGTTTAGAATCTTTGAAGATAGACCAACTGGTTGAGTTCCTGCCTTCTTTGCAAGTCTTTACTTTACTAGTAGAGTAGCAATAATAATAACGTTGGAGGTAGTAATTTTTGGTGGTAATAGTAGCAGCAGCAGCAATGGTAGTAACCGTAGTGATGACAACCACAACTAGCATTTATTGTCTGCTTAGTCTGTGTGATGGACTGAACTGTGTGTCTTTCAGCAGACGCCCCTCCACCCTATTTATATGTTGAAGTCTTAATCCCCACTGTGATTGTATTTGGAGAATCAGCCTTAGGCAGGTGATTAAGGTTAAATGAGGTCATAAGGGTGGACCCTAATCCCCTAGGATCTGGTGTTCTCATAAGAAGAAGAAGAGACAATACAGCTTTCTCTCTGCTGCCACCGATGAGAGGCCATGTGAGGACACAGGGAGGAGGTGGCTGACTGCAAGCCAGCAAGAGAGTCCTCACCAGGACCAAATCTGCCAGCAGCTTGACCATGAATTTCTAAATGTCCATTGTTTAAGTCACCCATCTATAATATTTTGCTATGGCAGCCCAACCAAACGAATACAGTGCGTGTCAGGTCTTATTCTAACTGCTTTTCACATTTTGACTTCTCAATTACCTTGTATTATCAATACCATTATTATTCCCACTTTATAAATGAAGGGGAGTAAACTTTCACTGGGTCGCATAGTGAGTGACAGAGTGGGTTTTGGCTCCAAAATCTGTCATCTTACTCAAGATGAAGGTGTGTTTGCATCTCTAATCTCCTGCTCAGTGCCTCTGGATTAAAGTCCATCCAGAAGCTGCCTCCGGCATTACTCACTCCAGCTACAGTCTTAAACCTGAGTGGTTTCCCCAGAAATACCAGGATTGCCCCTGTTGCTCTCTCAAAAGCAAAGAGGAGATGTCAAAAAAGAAAACAGACTCTGATAGAGAAGGAAAGAACCAACATGGATGAGAAAAAGTTGTATCCCCCGTTTCTGGCCAGGTTAGGGAGAGCCTGTATCTCTGGAAGGCATGCTGCTGCTGCTGCTGCTAAGTCGCTTCAGTCGTGTCCGACTCTGTGCGACCCCATAGATGGAAGCCCACCAGGCTCCTCCGTCCCTGGAAGGCACAAAGCACCCCATTGTCCTGCTGCCAGCAAGCTTGTCATTAGAGCACCCCAGGGTCCCCTTGATGCAGGTTTTCTTACCAAACTCACTGCCTCCCATGGAGGTGCTGAGGATAGTCTCATTTTGTCTATTGTTGAATGTGTAGCAATTCCCATACATTGGATGGTGGAAAAGCGTGAAGTTCCTATGGTGCAAGAATACAGGTCAGAAAGGGCTGTGCTGGGAACTCCCGTCATGCACCTGAGCTGACATCTCAGTGGGCAGTGTTAATGGGCCAGCTCTCTTCTGTGGACAATGGATGATAGACATGACTTTCTCTCCCCATCTTTCCTCTGACAGATGACAAAAAAGGCCCCTCGTCCAGTTGACACATGTTGATGTAGAACCACCCTCTGCTTTCCCTTCATCTTCTTAATCCACTCACCTCCCTCTCCATCCTGACTTGGCATTCTTTGGGCCCATATATCTGTCCTCATTTCCTCTACTCTGGAATATCTCAGCCAACACTTGACTTTTTTCCCATTCCGATTCCTAACAAATGATTCCCAGAAAAAGAATCACATCATACATGTCCTTATACTGACTTTAGAATCCAACCTTCAGGAGACATGATTCTAATCACTCAGTTTTCACAAGGATATACCGACTAACATATAGAAAAGCTTAGTATTTTAAAAGGATGAAGAAAGCCCTTACAATAAACAGGAACACTTTAGAATGTCCCATGACTGCCTAGTGTCCACCAGGAATCTGGGTGTTATCTTAACAGTAGAAAGGTCTGAAAGCTCATGTCTCTACACAGACCTTCCTGCCTTCCCTTCTTCTCTCCCTGCCTCCTTGCATCTCTCCTTCCTTACTTCCTCTTGACTAGATTGATGGTTCTCACTGGTATGTGTGATGGTAATATACAAGGTTATATGTCCACCATCAACTACTCTGTTTTTATAATTTAATGCATTTAGGGATGTTTGAATGCTAAGTCATCTGCATCTTCCTTACACACTCTAAAGCTGAGCTCATTGGCCAAAAGGCAGGGTCAGTGAGAGGAGCACCTGTCACTCCCAAGACCCCTAGCTGAGCTGCAGGTGCGTGCAAGGAGCCCAGCACTTAGAGCCCCTGGTCCCTGGAGCTGAGAGAGCAGCCTTCCACGACTCACCTGGCATCGCAGGACACCCCATCAAAGAAGCAAGTGATCAGCAGCTCGTCAGCAGAGTAGCTCATGTTGATTTTCTTCTCCTGAGACACCTGCGCCATGATATTCATGTAGTGTAGCTTGTACCATTCCTGGATTGCATTGACCCCTGAGCTGAAGGTGTAGACTGCACAGTCCGATGTGTCATTAGAACACTGTGGAGAGGAGGAGACAGCGAGATAAAGCCACCGGCCCTGCCAGGGGCCTTTAGAAGGACTGTGAGGCTAAGGAACCGGGACTCTAGATTCTCAGGGGAACAGGACAGATACCTGGGCCAGGATGGGCTTCTTTTCATTTCTGAGGCCAGGGACTCAACATCCTCAAGCCTCAAGGACCAAGAAGGGGCTGAGTGAGGAAGGACACAGAGCCTCACTCTCATGAGTCCCTAAGTGAGAAGCAAGACCAGCTTCTTCAGAGTCCCCAGGTAGTCAGGCTTTAACTGGTTATGGCTACTGAGTTCCGCCCAACTCTCACACTTCTTATTGGATCAACAGTCTAAAAATTGAGATTCTAGCCCAGACACTGCCATGACCTCTCTGCAGGACTCTGGGCAAGGCACTCAGTTCAGTCACTCATTTGTGTACGACTCTTTGCGACCCCATGGACAGCAGCACACCAGGCTTCCCTGTCCATCACCAACTCCTGGAGCTTGCTCAAACTCATGTCCATCCGGTTGGTGATGCCATTCAACCATCTCATCCTCTGTCATCCCATTCTCCTCCTGCCTTCAATTTTTCCTAGCATCAGGGTCTTTTCAAATGAGTCAGTTCTTCGCATCAGGTGGCCAAAGTATTGGGAGTTTCAACTTTAACATAAGTCCTTCCAATGAATATTCAGGACTGATCTCCTTTAGGATTGGCTGGTTTGATTGCTTTGCAGTCCAAGGGACTCTCAAGAATCTTCTCCAACATGACAGTTCGAAAGCATCAATTCTTTGGTGCTCAGCTTTCTTTATAGTCCAATTCTCATATATACACATGACTACTGGAAAAACCATAGATTTGTATAGATGGACCTTTTTTGACAAAGTAATGTGTCTGCTTTTTAATATGCTGTCTAGGTTGGTCAAAACTTTTCTTCTAAGGAGCAACCGTCGTTTAATTTCATGGCTGTAGTCACCACCTGCAGTGATTTTGGAGCCCCCCAAAATAAAGTCTGTCACTGTTTCCATTGTTTCCCCATCTATTTGCCATGAAGTGATGGGACCGGATGCCATGATCTTAGCTTTCTGAATGTTGAGTTTTAAGCCAACTTTTTACTCTCCTCTTTTAACTTTCATCAAAAGGCTCTTTCGTTCTTCTCCACTTTCTGCCATATAAGGGTGGTGTCATCTGCGTACCTATCCTTATTTCACCTACAAAATGTTGATCAAAATACCATACTTACCCACCTCATACGCTGGTTCGGAAGACCAGCATTCAAAATATATAATAATGGGAATTCTATAGGGAAATTGTGATATGTTCCAGATGTTCTTATCATACTTATTTGCTTGTGTGCTTAGTCACTCAGTCATGTTCAACTCTGTGACATGATGGACTGTGGCCTGCCAGGCTCCTCTGTCCATGAAATTCTCCAGGCAAGAATACTGGAATGGGTTGCCATTCCATTCTCCAGGGGAATCTTCCCAACCCAGGGATCGAACCCATCTCTCCTGCATTGCAGGTGATTCTTTACCACTGTGCCACCTGAAAAGACCTTCTCATTTCATCAATAGGGCTTGAAAACTCTCCTAAAAGACAGACACCAAAAGGTGAATTTGGGTATCAAGGAGAACTTTTTCTCGCGTAAGGACCCAGGAAGACTTCAAAAAGGTTCAGTTATTTAGAGAAAGTACCACTTTCCCCCTCAGGATTGGCAAATGGAGCCATCAGGTCTCACAATCAGCAATCAAGTCTATAAAGACTAAGTAGCTCTCATCCTGCAGAAACAGCTGGGGCACAGAGAGGAGGGTGATGGTTGAGTGTGGCCAGGAAGGCAATGGAAGTCATTTTTGGTAAATGGCTGCTTCTTCAGGGCCCCTTAAATGGGGCCAAGAAGGAGAGATGAGAAGTCAGGCTATAGCACCTCATGAAGGCAAGTACTGCTGGGAACACTGTGTGTTTCTGCTGCTCATTTTCTATTTTCTTCCTTCTGGTATCTGCACTCCAATTTTATTTGGTAGAATTTCCTTTCCCTCTTTGGATATAGTTGGCCAAGACTGTCCATCAAGACGCCCTACCCTACATGAGCCATCAGGTGACCCAAACTTGGTCAATCAGATAGTCCCCAGTGGGATTTGAATCAACCATTGAAGCTTATTTAATCCAGCATCAATATCTGAAATGATTCTTCATCATTTCTTGCCACCAGGATCCCTGAATCTTCCCTAATTTCTGTCCTTTGAGAGGATTCCATGAGCTACTGGTCACCTTCTAAGACAGAGGTCCTCAACCTTTTTGGCTGGTTTCATGGAAGACAGTTTTTCCACAGATGTTGTGGGTGGGGATGATGGTTCAAGTGATGGGGAGCAGCAGGTGAAGCTTTGCTGGCTCACTCACCACTCACCTTCTATTCTGTGGCAGGTTCCTAACAGGCCACCAACCTGACACCAGTTCTACTGGCATTTTTATCAGCTTAAGATTGCCTGGGGGCTTCCCAGGTGGCTCAGTGGTAAAGAATCTGCCTGCCAATGCAGGAGACACAGGAGATGCAGGTTCGATCCCTGAGTCAGGAAGATCCCTTGAAGGAGGAAATGGCAACCCACTCTAGTATTCCTGCCTGGGAAATCCCATGGAAAGGAGCCTGGCGGGCTACAGCTCACAGGGTTGCAGGGTTGAACACAACTGAGCACCGCACACATAATAAAGATTGCCTGGGTCAGTTTCAGTTGCTTGCAGCTGATTCACCCTGAATGTGTTTCTTTCTGAGGGACTATAGGACCAACAGCAAAGAAGAAACCTCCCTGGACAGGACCCCGCCTCCCCGGACCCATGACCCCGCCTCCCTGGACCCATGACCCCACCTCCCCAGACCCATGATCCCACCTCCCAGGACCCAAGACCCTGCCTCCCCAACCCGTGACCCCACCTCCCTGGACCCATGACCACGCCTTCCTGGACCCAGGACCCCAACTACCCGGATCCATGATCCCACCTCCCTGGACCCATGATCCCACCCCAGACCCCGAACCGGTGAGGATGTGCGTCTTACCAGCTGGAATCCCACCACCTCCTTGGAATTGTGGATATGCATGACATCTGATGCCTTGTGAATGATTCTTGCGTTGACTTTCCGCTTCCGTCCCGTGAAGAAGTCCCTGGCCTTGCCCGTATCACCCTTCTCAAAGGCCATCAGTGGGGCTAGGTTGAGGAATTTGGGATCAGTGCCCTTCCTGACTGAACTCCAGGACTGTGCCTCTCGGCGTTTCCGAGACGTAATCTCTGAAAAACCATACAGGGTCTTCAAGGCCGCTCTGGTCTCCTGTTCCAAGTCGGCTAGGAGGTGGCGCACAGCACTGTACCTGCCAAGGCGGGAAGGAGGAGTCGGGATGGGGAAACCCCTCTGGCCCTTCACCGTGCTGCTTTCCATTGATGTGCCCATCACCCCAGCGCCCTTGGCCAAGAAGACCAGGCCATTTTTAATTTTCCTCCTCCAACGCGACCACTGGCTCAAATAAATGGGGACAAGCTCCTGTGTGACCTTGTGTAACTGCCTGTGGCTTCAGCTTTGCCATCACTGTCTGCTTGCTCTCGGGATGTGTTGATGAGTTTGCCCCAACCAGCATTTCTGGAGTGGTGACTGTCAGCTGCCTCACATAAGCCAGCCACAGTGAAGACAAGTAAATAACTGCTAACCAGGAGTCTCCCTAGGGTCAGGCTCTGTCTCCCCCTGGCATACTTGCCCCTGCCCATAGGTTCTCCTCGAATCAGTGCTGGAGGGAGGGGTATTACTGTTCCCTTGAAAACCCCCAAGAACACAGAATGATTCAGGAGTTGACTCCATGAAGCATAACAACACCATGTTTTCATTTTCACAATACTGAATGGTCCTGACCTCCCTCTTAACTCTCCTCACTCTATCACCCCTTGCTCTACACACAGACCACACAGCATAGTGACTGAACATAGAAACTTTGGAGCCAAACTCCTGGGTTCCAGTTCCCCATCCTGGTTCTGGATGTAGAACTCTGGTCAAGCCATTTAGCCTTTTTGTGTCTCAGTTTTCCCATCTGTAAAATGTGATTATTGGCAAGAGTTAACCAGTTTATTCTATCTATCTAGCCATCCATCCACATATCTCTGTGTGTATGTATGTGTGTGTGTGTGTGTGTGTATATATATATACCGTTAAATAATAATGAATATTATTAATTTTATTAGTGTAATTTTATTTGTTAATATTTCAATCCTCTACCAACATCAGCTGCACTAGGACAAAGACTGTGTTTGGGTTATTCACTTCCATGCCCCAGAACGAGGTATAGTGAATGACAAGTTATAGAGGCTGAGTAAGAGACTACGGAACAACTGATGGAGGGAAGAAAGGGTGGGGGAAGAAGGAAGAAAGGAAGGAAGGAAAGAAAGATTTTGAGGGGGAGGATGAGTTTAGACCTGATTTTGATTTTGAGCTTTGCCATCAACTCATCGAGGACTCTGTACAAGTTAGCTCCCTTTGATGGTCTTTCTCCCTTGTTCTTCCCTTCTCCCCACCCCCACCCCTGCTCTGCCAAATTCTGATCTGCCTCACAGATCAGTTTTCAATAATCCTGAGAAGGAGTCCGATGACCCATTTAGAACAGGTCAGGCAGCAGACAATTAGGCAGGACGAAGGGATGGTCCTGCCCAGGGCCCAGTGATCTCAATTAGTGGGGCTGGGTTGATTCAGGTGAGGGTTTGGGGAGGCTGGGGTGCTTCCGGAAGTCATCTAGGTGTCATGTCTGAGTCAGCCTCCAGCTCACGCTCAGGGGACAGTGAGGGTGTGAGCTTGGGGAGTCCAGGGCAAATGGCTAAGCTGGACTCTGTGTGTGTGTGTGTGTGTGTGTGTGTGTCTAAGACAGGAGGGATACTGTCCATTCCAGACCCAGCCACCAAGCAGAAGAGTTCCTTGCAGCCTCTCTCGCCCTCCTCCTTTCCTTGAATCAGTCCATCCTCGGAAGTTACAGATGGATTGAAAATTTGGTATAGATTTTAAACCAGGGAGAGGGCAGTTTACCAACACTGGCAAGAAATTCAAGTTTCTAAACAGTGTGTCTGCAGGCTGGAGCGTGTCACCTTTGGGAGGGGCATTGGCATCTGGAGGGGGCATGACCCCTCCTCCACGTGCCTGCTGCTGCCTCTTACTTGTAAGGGTTGATGTTGCAGATGGTGACCGCAGGAAAATCCAGCTTTTGGAAGTGGACTTTGATGGAGACAGAGACGGTATAGAAGGATGAGATGAGGAGGGCACACTGCCAGAAAATGAGGGCCACGGCCGTCAGCGTGAAGAGAATCCAGAGCAGGCGCCGGAGGCGGCCACGCGACACCACAATGCGGCGGCAGCCATGGGTGTTGGTGTTCAGACAGTACCACTGCATTAGCTCTTTGATGTTAGGCGCCTGAGGTCCTGTCACGGGCAGATTCTTCTTGATTTTGGCTTTGATCTTCTCTCCAGGAGCCATGGTGAGGATGGGACTTGGTGGGACAGACAAGCTGGAGGGGAGAGAAAAAAGGCAGGTGAGTGGGTACAGCCCAGAGGCTGGGCGCTGGGAAACCCCAGCCCACGTGTCCCCAAAAGCTGTCTTCCTCTTTCCCTTTGGACTGGATGGTCTGCTTTCTGAGGCCTTGGCCCTTGCTCCAGGATATTTGCTTTGGGGCCACCACAGCTGCCAGAGAGCTGCCTCCCTCTCTGCCTGCTTCCTACGGCAGCCCCAGCCCCCAGGCCAAGCAATGCGGACGTGGGTGCTGGGGAAGGCTTCACCTGAAAATGACTGGGTAAATTTGAAAGACCTTTCTCCTGGGTGCTAGGAAAAACCCTACCCCATCAGACTCCACTCCACTCTTATCGAGCTCCATCGTGAGCTTAGCAGCCTAGGCCTGATTTTATCACCTCCATTAGCCTGCCTTCCTTGAGGGCATCATTCCTACCTCGTCCTGCCCCCCCTGGTGCTGACCTCAGCGTCTGGCACAGAGCAAGTGCCTTGCAAATCGATTCTAACAGATAAAATCGGCCAAGAGAATTTCCAGGCAGCCACACTAGATCATGTTCAGTACCTTGCCAGACCAGCCGGAGCTTCCCAAGCTTTTCTCAGCTGCTTCACTGCAAGTGGAATGTTTCTGTTTCACTTCTGTTTCACTTTTTCTCTTTATAGTCAAGCTCTTAGTGTTTCTAGAGCACCTGATACAGTAATACAGTAATAGCCTATAAACATTGGCCACTTAATATTTGCCAGGCATTGGGCCAGATTTCCTTTATTCTAACATACCATTGATTTGGAGAATACACTTTGATTTTATAACAGCTTTGTCCAGGGAAGAGTGTTGAAAAGCAAATTACCATATTCATCAATATACACGATGTATCTGAGTTACAGAAGCTTTACAATGTGCAATAACAATCTTTTAAGCTATAAACTAAAATAATATATAGTCTCACTAGTCTCATGAATGCATACAGTTTCATTCTTCATATAGAACATATAAATCTCGATCCAAATCTATCTATCTGTATATATTTCAGTTCATGTTTCAACAACGCCATAAGGTAGACATATTATTATTATCTCCAGGTTACTGAGGAGGAAAATGAGCTCAGAGAGGTTGGAGTAACTTGTGCAAAATTACACAGCTAGTAAGTGGAGGCGCTTGGTTGGAACCTTGAACATTTATCACCATGGTATATACCTTGAGGGGACTGGTATTGTGCTGGGTGCTGCCCCATCCTCATGAGTTAATTAACAGTTCTGGAACTGAAGATGGGATCCTGAGTTATTTACTTTTTAAATTCTGAGTAGTTAGTGCAATCGCTTCCTAACACTGGTATTAGTAAACACTGGCATTGGAGAGGGGTATATGAAAACTCTTGCCTCCTGTGCCTACCATAGGTGACAGAGAAAAATTAGGGTATACTATAATTTGGAGTAGGACATACAGTGTAATCCCCGTGCCCCCCACCCCACCAGAAGGCTTGGACCTGGGACAAAGACTATAGTTTACCCCATCTTGTTCTTCAGGATTCTGGACTTGAGCACTCGTTTTTTCTCTACCCCAAACCCATGGGATATTTGTCCAAAATCGGGAGCTTGGACCAAGCTGGGAGGCCTTCAAGTTTATGGTGTTAGTGAGTTTCAGGTTTATGACAGCAAGGACACAAAATGTTGCAGGGGAGATAAGACATCCAGAGGCAGCCAGCCACTCTAAGCCTTCAGGGAGGTATATGATCTTGCTGTGATCTCCGACCTTCAAAATCATGCTATAAACCTCTTGGCAAGAGGAAAGTGATTTATTGTATTTTATCATTTTAAATATTGTCCATCCCCACCTCCTCTCTCCCTACAATCCAAAAGCAAAAATTTGCAAGTTTGTTTTAGAAACCTAGGTCCAGGTACAATTTTGTATCAAATAAAACTGCAACCCAGAGAAGATTTTCCCCTCTGTGAATGTTCCACAGATACTGTGATTCTGGAAGTTTCTGTCATCAAACCTTTTTGTCTTCTCACTGAAGACAACTCCTAGGGTCCCTCTACCCCACCAGCCCCTTCCCCAGGATGCTTTGACTCCTGTGGGTCAGCCACCAATGTCAGTGAAACTGCAGGTGAAAGAAGGGAACCCACCTTGCTCATCATAAAACAGATACATCTTCACACAAATAATATTCCAACTTCTGAGCAAAGTAGGGTTTGCTACAAAGCAAGGTTGTAGCTACATTTAGGTTATATTGCTTGATTAAACATGATGCCCTTGTGATAGAGTTAGTAACTGACATCCAGCACTCATTCTTCTAAGCACTTTACAAGTATTAGCTCATTTAATTTCTACAGCTATCTTTGGCAACAGGCACCACAATTTTCTCCATGATACAAATGAAACAGACACCAAGTGCTTAAGCAACTTGCCCAAGGTCACACTAGAAAATGGCGGAGTTGGAACTGAAACCAGGAGCCTTGAACTACAAACGACTCCCCAGATAATAATAACAACAGCAACGGCAGCAAGAACAAGAAAAGTAATACCAGCTTTCATTTATTGATCCTTTACTCTCAAGCTTCCTGCTCATATTCTTTTCACGCATTACCTTATTTAATCCTCACTGAGGAGGAAATGGCAACCCACTCCAGTATTCTTGCCTGGGAAATCCCACGGACAGAGGAGCCTGGCAGGTCACAAAGAGTCAGACCCTACAGAGCAAGAGCAGGCACAGAGAAGAAAACTCAAGGGCAGAGCTTAGGCAACTTGTCCAGGGCCACACAGGGAGGAGGGATTAAAATAATTCTCTGGAATTCCGGGTTCCCTCATGATTCTCTTCTGCACCCCTCTCGCCCATTCCCGACCTCGACTGTCCCCCAAATCTCAGTGATGGAACCCGAACCTCGGGCTCTGGGCGCCAGATTCGCGCTCCTCACGGGCGATTCTGCAGCCCCTGCCCTCCCCGCATAGAGGGACCCGGTGCTGTGACCGAAGCCACGGCTGCTTCGGGGCAGCCAGGGCTGAAGCCGCAGGAGAGAACCCAACCAACTCGCTTCAAGTATTTGCTGTTTTCTGCAACCACAGTCACCCTAAAGAAAACATTCCAGAGGGGGAAAGGAAAGACCGCGGTCAGGTCCACGCGCCTCACTGAGGCCAGGAAAAGAATGAGCAGGTGCTGGGTGGAGAGACTGGGCGGGGCGCAGCCCCGAACCCCTGGACCCAGTTTCTGAATAAATCAGAAACGCCTCCGGCTCTAGCTCTGTCTCCCCGGCCACCGCGTGGGCAGACAGCAGATCGCTAGACCGAATGGATTTATTTGGGAAGGAGTCCGAGCATCCCAGGTACCCGAAGGCAGCCCCGGGCTGAGGATGCCCACGCGGCGTCTACCGCCCGGACAGTGTCCGGAAGCTCACCGCGGCCTCTCCGGTGTCTGAAACTCCCGACCCAACTCCGCCGGGCTCACCTCACGGTTCGACGGGCCCCGCCCCCCACCTGCCCAGGTGTATTTCCCCAGCGGCCGGGGGACTTGCCACCCCGGGAGTAGGCCACGATTCTGCAGCGCCCCCTGCCATCCCGAGGGCGCTCTGCGCCCCAGCCCGTCCCGCGCTGTGCTTCCAGGTGGTACGACGCTGTGCCTGCTGCCGCCCTGAGGCCACCCTGCATCCTGCTCCTCGCGCGCTCGCAGCGCCTCCTGCCGCCCTGTTACTGCCCAGAGCCTTCCATTCTGGTCCAGCTGGGCACCCTCCCGGCCCCAGCATCAAGAGAAATCCCAAGTAGCCTCCTGTCCCCGGCTTCCTCTTGACCTGGATGGAGCCTGAGGCTGCTTCAGTGCCCACCTGGGCAGCAGGGATGTTCAGACAGGTCGCCCATCTTTCAGTCTCTTCAGCTGCCTTTTTCTTTCTTTCTTTCTTTTTTTAGGAACTCACGCTGAAAACTACAAGAAATGAGCTTGGGAAATTGCAACTGGGAGGGACCATAGGGACACCTCTGTCACAGCTCCATTGACTAGAGAAGGAACAGGTGCAGAGAGGAGGAGGTGTCTGCGCTTTTTTCACTTTATGATATAGTATATGTAACTTGCCTTGTCAGTAACTACATTTACCGAAGTATTCCACTCACATATCATTTAATTGATCTTTTGATATATTTCAAGATCGTTTCCAATTTTTTACTAATATAAATTATTCTGTAAAATATCATGTTCATCTCTGATTATTTTTGGGAGATAAAATCCTATTAGTGTATTTTTTTCTGACAATGTATTTACCCAGTTTAATTGGCACAACAAAAAGGACAGTTAAGAGCAAAAAACAAGCTACAAAACAGTATATAGAATATATATTGAAATATTTAAAAAGAAGTTATCTCTTGGGATAGGCTTACAAGTGAATTTTATTTGTTTTTTCTTGTTTTATATACATACATATATATATGTATATATATATACATATATATATACACACACATATATGCTGTTATTCAGTCACCAATTTGTTTCCAACTCTTTGTGATCCCATGAACTGCAGCACATCAGGCTTCCCGTTCCTCCATTATCTCCCGAAGTTTGCTCAGGCTCATGTCCATTGAATTGGTGATGTTATCCAACCATCTCATCCTCTGCTGCCCTCTTCTCCTTTTGCCGTCAGTCTTTCTGAGCATCAGGGTCTTTTCCAATCAGTCTGTTCTTCACATCAGGTGGCCAAAGTACTACAACTTCAGCTTTAGCATCACTCCTGATGAATATTCACATTTGATTTCCTTTAGGACTGACCGGTTTGATCTTGCAGTCCAAGGCACTCTCAAGAGTCTCCTCCAGCACCACAGTTTGAAAGCATCAATTATTCAATGTTTAGCCATATATATATAGGTATATATACCATATATATATAAAACCTGTGTCATAAAAATAAAAAATGTTTTTACAAGATTTGGAGCTAGTTGAAATCAGGAATAAGACTTAAAATCAGATCTATGTCACTATAGGATATAGTGAATTTAGGCTAGATTGCCTTCTTTTTAAAAATCAAGTTATATGTATCATGTATATACAATCATGTATATACAATGAAATGCAAAGATTTTGTGGTTTCCATGAATTTTGGTAAATATATGCACTATGTAAGCATCGCTCAAATAACATATAGCGCATTGCCCTAGAGAGTTCCCTCAGCCCATTTTTACTCACTTACCACAGACAGCCAGCATTTCTTAGGGCAAATAAGAGATTCACTTTCTCGGTTCTTAAATTTCATAGAGTCACACAATATGTGTGTCTTCTTGTATCTGGTTTCCCCCCTGAATTCAGTTGTGACTTGTTTTTCTACTATGCTATCACTGCCTCTGCTTATAGAATTATTATTACCCCAGTATTACAGATGAAGGAACTGAGACTCAGAAAGCTGAAGTTTACCATTTGTAAGTGGTGGAGCCAATATCTGCATCCAAGTCTGCTTTATAGAATACAAAGCCACACACTTACCCACAAGGCTGCATGAGAATCTTGCTGTGAGTAAGGACCAAGCTTCATCCTTCCAGGTCCCACATGAAGGATGACCAAACACCCTTGGGATGGCTGAGATGGAGAGAAGCCCCTCACTTCCTAGGCCATGGGACTGCAAGCCTTCTCTCAAGGTGCTTGCATAAGGCGGCATTGTTAATCAAAGTTATAAAAACCGAAACAACTCTATCATCATTAGACCATGCGTGCATGTGTGCTAAGTCGTTTCAGTCATGTCTGATGCTTCAAAACCCCGTGGACTGTAGCCTATCAGGCTCCTCTGTCCATGGGATTCTCCAGGTAATAATACTTGAGTGAGTTGCCATGTCCTCCTCCAGGGAATCTTTCCAACCCAGGGAGGGAGCCGTTTCTCTTTGTCTCTTGAATTGGCAAGTGAGTTCTTTACTACTAGTGCCCCCTGGGAAGCCCTTATTAGACTATAAGTCACTTCTCTTCCCCTGGAAGCATATTTATGAAATGTATCTACAGGCTACTTCTCATTACCTCTGGGGCCACCACTGTGCTCCAACCCATCATCTTTCTCCTGTGGATCGTTGCCGTAGCCTCCCAACTAGTCTGGATGAGCCCATCCTCTACAGCCTGTTGTCAGTACACTACCCACTGGGATGCTGTTATATTAGCCGTATCCTCTCACCTTCTGTTTAAATCCATTCAGTGGCTTTTTACTTCATTCAGGGTAAAAGCCAAAGTCTTCATGACACCTACAAGGCCCTCCATGACCTGACTCCTGTTATCAACCTTCCCTATCTCCTATGACTTATACTCTAGTTTATTTTGCTTCTTTCTCACTGTCCTCCACGTTGTTTCTTGTATATGATGGACACACTCCTTTCAGGCCTTGTGACAGGTGTCCACTCTATCTGAACTGCTCTCTCCCTCTCTACACATCTCACACACACACACACACACACACACACACACACACACACACACACACAGAGCCATTCAGATAATTCTGTGGATTATCCCCTTGCCTCCTTCAAGTTTTTGAATTATTATTATTCTATTGGCTACAACTTCCCTGGTTGCCCTATTTTAAATCACAGTGTTTCCTATCATCCCAAATGCCTCATATCCCTTCCTTTGTTATTTTTTGGTACGACAGGCCCAATCAAAATCAGGAGGATTTGCCACACTTCCTCCCCTCCCCAGCTGATTCCAGGTGCACCAGTCATTCAACCATTGCTGTGGCAACTGATAACTGGTATAGCTTCACTCACTTCAAAGCTTCACTCACAGAAACTTTGAACGACCCAAGCATCTCAGGACTATTGGAACCAGTGTCAGGCTCAGTAGCCAGAGCTCAGGGCCTGGAAAATGCAACTACAGGGGCCAAGTTCAGAGAAGAGTAAAATTGCTTACACTCAAAACCAGCTACTCCTTTCTCAATGATACTGGAAACCTTGTGAGTGGAATTAGTCTCAGTAAAGTCATTTGGTTTCAATGAACAGAAATAGACTTAAATTAGTATCAGCAAAACCAAGAAATTATTAAATGATGCAGGTAGAAGTCTTTAACATAGGAACCAAAGAAACATAAATAAGGCCTCAGGAGAATGGGAACCAGGAACTGTCTGGATCTCTCAGGAGGGGAATTTTGTGGGCTTTTTTTTTTTTTTAGTTCCCCAATCCCTCTCAGTCTCAGGGGAGCCCATGAAGAATTTGATTGGCCACTATTATGCCAATGAGCTAGATTTTGGGGATCAGGTGTCTTCATGTCCAAAAAGCTAGCACCATGAGAGCAGATCAAACATGATAGTAGATGTCCACAACTAAGGGTGAATGGGCAATTTTCAGAGCGTGTGGCTATGAATAAAGAAGAAATCTTAAAATGAAGTGAACCAACACTTCCTTTTGAGTTAGTAGTACTACTTCTAGACCACTTAGGAAAAGATGCATTTAGATAAGACTCCCCTGCTCCCCTGGTGGCTCAGATGGCAAAGAATCTGCCTACAGTGCAGGAGACCCAGGTTTGGTCCCTGGGTTGGGAAGATCCCCCGGAGAAGGGAATGGCAACACACTCCAGTATTTTTGCCTGGGGAATTCCATGGACAAATGATCCTGGTTGGACTACAGTCCATGGAGTCTCAAAGAGTCGGCATGACTGAACGACGAGCAGTTCTACTCCACTGTCCCCTGGGCTTCTCCTGTGGCTCAGTGGTTAAAAGAATCTGCCTGCAATGCAGGAGATACAGGAGACACTGGTTCAGCCCCTGGGTCGGGAAGATCACCTGGAGGAGGGCATGGCAACCCACCCCAGTATTCTTGCCTTGGAGAATCCCAAGGAAGGAGGAGCCTGGTGGGTTCCAGTCCATAGAGTCACATAGAATTGGAATGACTGAGTTAGCTGAGCATGCATGCACACACACTGTCCCCTAAATGCACAGATTTTATAGATTTGCTTGCCCAAAGCACTGGTGTAGTGTTCATCTGTTTCTTCTATTTTTTAATCAACATTTATTTCCTCTTATTCTGGGGACATCCTGAATTTCCTTTGGAGAATAACTCAGCCTCCTTTCCTAATACTTAAACTGTGGTTCAAGCTGGGTTGATCCCACCTCTGGCTCTGGGCCTGGCCAATCAGCTCATCTTACCATTCAGATCACGGTGTTCTGTTCAGGAGTGGGCATGGGCCCCAATTCAATCCAATGACAGTCAGGCCCACCAAGGATGTTTTCTGAAAGACTGAAAAGGAGAAACTTCTTTACTGTTGGAGCTAGTAGCAGAAAGGATTCTGTAATCTAAGAAGTGCTGGGAAAATCACAGGAGACCTGGAAGCAATGCCAAAATAAAGAAAAGGAGAGCTAAGAGATGGAAAGTGTTCTAGCCCTGATGATAACATGTGAGTCTCAGGACCCGGCACTGCCCAAAGCTGGGTCTACCTCCTGAATTTTTCAGTCATGTCATTTAATACATTGGCTATTACGCTTAAGATATTTTGAGTTCAGTTTCCATCACTAGAAATCAAAGGAGTTTCAACCAACAATCTACTTGGTTAGGGTGATGCCATCTTCTGCTCCTTAAAGTAAGTGTATTCCATATCCAGTCCCAGATGCAGGATCTACAAACTTTCTGGGGAACATTATTTTTATGTCAAATGACTCCAGTGAGGGCCATCTTCCACAACTTGAGCTTATGAAAAGTGGTGGCATAATAGACAATCAGGGCTTCCCGGTGGCTCAGACAGTAAAGAATCCACATGCAATGTGGAAGACCTGGGTTCAATCCCTGGGTTGTGAAGAGCCCCTGGAGGAGGACATGGCAACCCACTCCAGTATTCTTGCCTGGAGAATCTCCATGGACAGAGGAGCCTGGCGGGTTACAGTCCATGAGGTTGCAAAGAGTTGGGACAGGACTGAGTGACTAAGCGCATGCATGCGTGCACGCACACACACACACACACACACACACACAATAGACAATCATTCTTATTTCTTAATCCAACCCTANGATGGGCATCTAGGTTGCTTCCATGTCCTGGCTATTATAAACAGTGCTGCGATGAACATTGGGGTGCACGTGTCTCTTTCAGATCTGATTTCCTTGGTGTGCATGCCCAGGAGTGGTACTGCTGGGTCATATGGCAGTTCTATTTCCAGTTTTTTAAGGAATCTCCAAACTGTTCTCCATAGTGGTTGTACTAGTTTGCATTCCCACCAACAGTGTAAGGGGATTCCCTTTTCTCCACACCCTCTCCAGCATTTATTGCTTGTAGACTTTTGGATAGCAGCCATCCTGACTGGCGTGTAATGGTACCTCTGGTTACATTAATTTTCTACGACATTTTTTTTCTCCAAGGGACATAAATGCTTCTGACAAACGTTAGCATCATTTTCTAGTACAAGAAACATTATTTTGTTAATCTGATTCTTTAAGGCTCAAGAGACATGCTTATGAGGGGACTTATTGAGAGCACTTACAAGACAACTATTTCAGGAGATTTCTTGATGGAATCTATTTCTCCTGCCTGCTTGGAATCCATTCCACTTTCTACTGGCAACAGAGCCTATATTTTACTTTGGGAAATCATCTTCCCCTAGCTTATAGCCATATGATTCTGCTAGGAGCCCCCCACTTCAACACCAACCATAGCAATCTTCTCTTTGGCCATCCTTTGTTCAGGAAGGGTATGCTTCCTGAGCCAGCTGATAAAAACCTTCCTCTAAAAAGAATTTAATCAACATTTTGCTAACAGGTGAAAAGTCTTCCCAACTTCCAAGCTATGTCAGAAGGGTTTTCACTGCCCTGTATCCAACTTACTTGGCCTTCGTGAATTCCACATTTTATCATACACCGCCTAAAATATTTTAGTCCACTTCTAGTACTTATTTGTAATCTAAGTAGAACTCTGTATTTTGAAAGTATCTGAAACAAACAACTCTGAACAAATTTAGTTTTAAGATGAAACAAATCATCTCATATACTGAGGAATTTGGTTTCAGCTTAGCATAAGCTTGGATTCAAAAGATGTCACACACACGAAAAGATGTCACCAGGACCTGTTTTTTCTACAATTAAGTCTTGGCTCTACTTTCTCAGTGTTCATGCCATTTTCTGTCCAGTTTGATCATAAGAAGATTGCATTAGCTCCAGTCTCTAATGTACATAACTGAGTCCAGCAAGACTTGTGGCTCCAGCATAGTTTGTAGAATTAGTTCTGAATTGTCCTTGTTGTTGTTCTATTGCTCAGTCATGCCCGACTCTTTGTGACCCCATGGACTGCATCATGCCAGACTTCCCTGTCCATCACCATCTCCCAGAATTCGCTCAGACTTACGGCCATTGAGTCAGTGATGCCATCCAACCATCTTGTCCTCTTTCATCCCATTCTCCTCCTGCCTTCAATCTTTCCCATTATCAGGGTCTTTTCCAATCAGTTGGTTCTTCTCATCAGGTGGCCAAAGTATTGGAGTTTCAGCTTCAGCATCAGTCCTTCCAATGAATATTCAGGGTTGATTTCCTTTAGGATCGACTAAGGAACTCTTTGCAATCCAAGGGACTCTCAAGAGTCTTATCCAACACCCAGTTCAAAAGCATCAATTATTTGGTGCTCAGCCTTTTTATGGTTCAACTCTCCCAGCCATACATGACTACTGAATTGTCCTAATTAGGCTTTATTACCTTGCTTGAAGCATGTCCCAACCTCTACCTGAAAGCTGAGATTAGAATAGAGAATGCATTGATAGGCTTAGGCTTGGATCTCATGCTTAGGTTTGGAATCACCTTTACCCAAAACTCATGGTTTGAGAGTGAGACAGTGGTTGTTTCCCCAAAAGCAACATTCAGGTAAATTTTGGGTTTCAAAACAGCTAATCTTCCATAATTTCCCCAATTTTCCCTTTTTTGGCACTTGCTCTTGACTATTGTCTCAGGGAAACACTGTCTTCTCTGTTGTATCAATTTATCTAAAATTTACTTCTGCTTTCTGAAAGTTTTTGTAATGCAGAGTCTGCAAAGATTCTGGGTTTTAGAGGATCAAGGTTTGGAGACTCAAGAAGCCAGTCATGAGAAATACCAGGAGAGCTGAAATCTTCTGGAGAGTTAGAGGAGAATCTAAAGTGACTTAGAAGGATTGGTTAAACTGGTACTAGGGCTTAGTCCTCAGTAGCACAGGATTGGCAAAGTGTGGGAACTCAGTGGTAATCAGTAAGTATGCTCCCAACTTTGGCTCTTTCCAGGTTTCCTGTGGCTCTAGTATAGTGTTCTTCGGTACTTGTGGATGTTACGTTTATGTTACAAGGGTGGGATCAAGACTCTTTAATCATGCATGCTCATTAACCCAGTTTGGGAAACCTATTCTCTTTGGTCATGGGGGAGTAGAGGACAGGATCCTTAAGTTTACTCATGCAAGTTTCATAATGATTTTTCTGATGCTTTTTCTCTTGCGGCAAGCTTGCTTTAGATGATCAGCACCATGGACAGCAGCTATGGGTGCAGTTATGGGTTCTCCCTGGACGCAGGAGGTCTCTTATGATATGTTCCTCTCCCCCAAAATGCCACTTGCAGCTTTGAGATGGATACTGCAAGAAGGAAGAAATAGTGAACGTGACCTCTTCCAGCCAACACATGACAGATAAGAGATGTCGCAGTCAGATTACCTTTAGAACTAAAAACAAAGTTTTTCTTGATATTTGCACTTGAAATTATGAAGTCATCACAAACACTGAATTAGCAAATACTGAACCATTACTCTTAGGAGAAACTGAGAGCTAAGTTCCTGTGAGCCTCTGGTCACAATGTATTCATCAACTGATCAATACATAAATTTTAAAAATGTGTGTTTCTGTTTTAAAATATCTTATTTAATATATATTGTTGGGGCTTCTCTGGTGGTCCAGTGGTTGAGAATCTGCTTTCCAAGGCAGTGTACATGGATTCTACCCCTGGTTGAGGAACTAAGATCCAACATTCAGTGGGGCAAGTAAGCCTGCATGCCACAGCTAGAGAGTCTGCATGCCAAAACTACTGAGCCTGTGCACCCTGGAGCCCACACATCATGAAGAGCCTGTGTGCAGCAACTAAGCTCTGACACAGCCCAAATAAATAAATAAATATATAAAATTATATATATATATATATAGTTGGTTCATCAGCATTGATGAACATTGTTCATCTATGGCATATGCTTCACGCATGAACAAAGCTTATCTAATGCACCTATTTTCTTTGAAAGCACATCACAGCCTTCTTGTGCATAGGAGCACAGGACAGCACATCAGCAGTACAGTTGAAGGCCATTTTAAACAGGAAAATCACCAACAAAATGCACAAAAGTGTGAAAAAAATGGCACTAAATAGGCTCCTAAAACAGTAGTTGTTTATATCATGGGTGCTCAAAGGCAGAGAAGATGGACATCCCCACTCAAGAAGAGAGAAAATCCCCCCTCCTCTTTCTTGTCCTTCTGTTTGGGTCCTCAGCAGATTAAATGATGCCTGCCTACCCTGCTGAGGATGGTCTTTACTCAGGCTACTGCTTCAAATGCTAATATCTCAGAAAGCTTCACAGAAGCCCTCAGAAATCATGTTTTAACAGGTGTGTGGGTGTCCACAGTCAAGTTGATACATAAAATTAACCATCTCAGGATACAAAAGGTACTCAAAAGTTATAGAAACCAGATCCCACATGGCTCTCTGTGATTTAGTTTGCTCTCCCTTTTCTGTGTCTTAGGGTGGAAAGTTAGATTACTGATTTGATGTGTGTGTGTGTGCACTCAATCATGTCTGACTCTATGTGACCCCATGGGCTGTTACCCACCAGGCTCCTCTGTCCATGGAATTTTCCAGGCAAGAATACTGGGGCGGGTTGACATTTCCTCCTCCAGGGGATCTTCCCGACCCAGGGATTGAGCCCACCTCTCTTGCGTCTCCTGCATTGGCAGGAAGATTCTTCACCACTGCACCATCTGGGAAACCCTTGAATTGATATCTTTCTTTAAAAAAAAAAAATAGGTGTTTAAGGCTATAAATTTTCCTCTAAGAACTACTTGAGCTACATCCCATAATTTTTGATATGTTGTGTCTTCATTTTCACTCATCTCAAAGTATTTTCTAATTTTCCTTGTGGTTTCTTCTTGATCATTAGTTATTTAGAAGTGTCTTGTTGGGACTTCCCTAATGGTGCAGTGGCTAAGACTCTGTGCTTCCAATGCAGGGGGCCTGGTTTCAATTTCTAGTCAGGGAACTAG